AGGTTTTATCATTATTTTATATCTTTTTTACCAAAGGTTCAGAGTAGAAGACATTGGTATGTTTTGTATTATCTTAAAATGTTTTTAACAACAATTTGTCTCAATAATTACCTTTTCATTTTTTTGTCTTAGTGGATCATACTGACTTGTAGCTTCACTATCAAACCAAGATTTGAGTTTGACTATAATGTCCATGTAACCATTAGATTGCACTATTATAATATGTTTAACCAAGTATTTTACACTTTTAGAGCTAGGTATTGTAATGTCTTTGATATGCAACACTATGTGAATTGACTTATAACCTTTGTGATATTTTATTATAGATGAATGAATTTATTTTTCTAAAAAAATAATGTGGATCAATTTGTGCATTAGATTCCATATTGATTTTGAGTTTGCTTTCCTTGAGCGTATAGGGGTTGAGAGTGCCATAAACATGATCCTAATAAAAAGTTCCCCTTGACCAAACAAAGCTAAAAGAGATGGATTATAGCACTAGTGTAAGGATGATAATTCTTATATTGCTCCTTAATTGTTACTTCTTCTGTTTATTTTTTTTTATAATTTTAGTTTGATTTTTTAATTTTTTAAACATAAATTTTAAATGAAAATTTAACAATTTATATAAACAATGATTGAAATTTTTTTCCTAGTTTTTATCGAGTATTTTGATTTGATTATAAATTTTTTAATTATCATTTATATAATATGTTAAATTTTTATCTAAATTTTATATTTAAAAAGTTGAAAGTTCAATTAAGATTATTAAAAATAAATAATACAATAAATTGAGCAACCAATCTAATGACTGGTTTTTCATAATAGTAATTGAGAAACCACTCATTAGATTGGTTGCTTAATTTATGTAAATAATAATGTCAAGTTTCATGTTAACCAAACATCTTTAAAAGATATTGAAGTGGTTAAGAATTTGAGCTTTTACATGAAGATTTTAAATTTAAATTCTAAAATACATGGAGAGGAGTATGAGAAGGGAAGAATTATTTTTTATTGTGTAGCACATTATCCAATATTTATTTAACAATATAAAATTTTGTAATATCATAAAATAATTAAACATATCCAATTAATATAAAATTTATGGAATGGGGTGACATTTTCTTCGATGAAATTTCATGTAAAATTTTCCCCAACCCATTAGGCTTTGCAAAGACACCATCCCTTGTAAAAAATTAAGTAGTAAAAAATGCTATTAAACCTAAATAAATACCCGACACATTACTATAAAGAGAAATGATTTTACTACCTAAAAATGGTATCAAAATAC